GTGTGGGACCCGCTGCACCACAAGAAGCTGCTCTCCATGCACACCGGACACACTGCGAATATTTTCTCTGTCAAGGTGAGCGGAATAAGCCATACAACATGTAAAAGGGGGTAACTGGCTGTGGGCCTGGTCGTGTGTGTGTGTGTGTGTGTGTGTGTGTGTGTGTGTGTTGTGTGCCCCAGGGTACACGGAGTCAGAGATTCAGAGATGCTCTTTGGATCTGAGAATTCTTGAAACACCATCTTTTTGCCGTAGTCTGCGCACTCTTGTAGCTCCAAGAAGCCAATAGAAATGAATTTGCACATATGTTGATGGTGATGGTTAAGGCTATAATATGGTTTTGAGCGTGAACTTTGATAGCAGGAAGGCCTACATTTGGATGCTATGTGAATTGGGCAAATTGCCTATCTCTGAGCCTGTTTTTACATCTGTAAACGGAAGTAGCAGTCCACACCACTATTAGTACAATTCAGTGAGATAACTGTTAAAAGCACATCACACACGTATTTTTAATCATTCCACCTTTCTGTAGGAAATGACTCTGCTGGTTTGTTGGTGGAGGGAGGTTGAGCTGAGGGTAGATGAGAAGAGAACTTGTCAAATATCTCCAGACCTTTGAAGCCCTGTTATGTGGAAGGTCTGTGAGATTTGTCCTTTAGGGTCCTGGAGAACAGACTAGGACACTCACAGAAGCAAATACAGGTCTACTGTAGGGAAAACCACGTCTCGGCTTTGAGGTATTTGGAAAAGAGGAAGTGGTTCTAGCACTGGAGAACGTCATCTCTTGAGTGGAAGCTTGGAGGAAATGACCTTGAAGGACTTCTCAAGCTCTGAGATTAGATAATAGACTTCAGACTGCACTATAGAAAGCCTCATTAATCTAGTAAGTAATGTCCTAATTAATATTGTGAAGAACTACAAGGTACCTGAACAAGAGAACAGATTAGAAAGCTCAGAACCTATTGTTTGCCTAACTCTTCTTTCTCAATTCCTGGGACCAATTCTAGATGAATTTCTATGATTGCAACTTATCTTAAGACAAATTGCCCCTTATAGAAACGAAATAATACTCTTCACCTCTTTCAGGGTCAACAGAGATGTCTTCTGCCTCTGAAAGTTTTAGGACTGGTTTCGTTCTGCACAAAGAGCCTGGGTGGTGCAGTGTAGGAAGCACAGGGCTGCCAATGGAAAGGTTGACTATTTGAACCTGCCAACCACTCTGTGGGGAAAGATGGTGTTTCCTGCTTCTGTGACGATGTATAGCCTCAGAAACCCTACAAAGCCGTTCGACTCTGACCTATAGAGCAGTGGTTCTCAACCCTCCTCATGCCACGGCCCTTTCGTACAGGTCCTCATGTGGTGGGGACCCCCCAACCATAACATTATTTTTGTTGCTACTTCATCACTGTCATTTTGCTACTGTTATGAATCAGACGACCCCTGTGAAAGGGTCGTTCCACCCCCAAAGGAGTCTCAGCCCGCAGGTTGAGAACCGCTGCTCTAGGGCCACTGCGAGTGGGAATGGACTCTCTATAACAGAGTGTTTGGTTTGGGGTTTTAAATTTCTGGAGGAGAATTCTCTCTCTAGGTAATAGAACTATACCACGAATCTATTAAACACTTGGAGCCCCGGTGGTATAGCGGATTATGTGTTGGCCTACTTACTGCAAAAGGTCAGCAGTTCAAAGCTAACAGCTGCTTTGTGGGAGAAAGATGAATTTTACTGTGGAAAAGATTTACAGTCTCGGAAATGCACAGGGCAGGGTCACTGAGTCAGAATCGGCTGGATGGCAATGAAGTTTTGTTTTTGTTTGGGGGTGTTTTCGGTATATTTGACCCACGAGCTCCCCCTGGTGGGAACTTCAGGCTGTGGTGAGTCTGGCCGCAGACTGGCCTTTGTGAAAAGCTTACCTGATTGTTTCTACTCTGTGTGGCTGACATACACGCTCCCTCCAGAAAGGATTAAAGGTTGTTCCTTAACATTATTAAATCCTGTCTATTCTAACTAGCTCTTGCCCTGATGAGAAGCATACGTGGCAAGAATAATTGTTGCTTTTGCATACACATTAAAAGTCCTGCGGGACTTTAACAGCTTAAATGCAGAATCATATCACACCAGAGCTAAGGATCCTTGTGGGCTGGAAGAAGCTCTCCTTCGCCCAGGTGTGACACCTGGTTGGCCATTTCTAGTGTTGGTTAGTACAAAGAGCACTACTCTGAGCATTTCTAAGAGTCCTTTTTTTCTTTTTGCATTATTTCCTTTATCTTTGTCAGTGTTTTCCAGAAACATTTAAACCAATTTGAAACACTCATTCCCTTAATACGCTGAGACTCATTTTTACTTTAAAACCAATTTATTCAACTCCACATTAGGTCGTTGTGAAGCAGCATGGCATACAGAAGTCCAAAAGATGCTGAATGTTAATGCTGAATCTCAGTTTTTAAAGGGCTTATCCTAAGGGTCAGGGGTCCCTGGGTAGTGCAAATTGTTCGTGCTCAGCTGCTGTCCCGGAAGCTGGAGGCCTGAGTTCACCCGGAGGGGCTTTAGAAGAGAGATCTGAGGTTCTCCTTCTCAGACGATCAGCCGTAGAGAACCCCGTGGGGCAGCTGGGCTCTGATGCACATGGAGTGGCTGTGAGTTAGCATGGACTCCATGGCACCTGGTGACTGATTCAAGTACCAATAAGACAAGTGCACGCCCTTGGTGTCTGGTAAACACGTGTGGGATGGTAACAGCCATGATAACCGTCCATTCAGTTCTTATTGTGGAAGAATCAAAGGCGGCTTCTCAGGTCGTCCGATTTGACAGAGGTCAAGACCATTTTGGCGAAGTAAAGGTATGTATCCTGAGTGCGTCCTTTAGCCTTATCATTTCCTGCTGGGTTCAGAGGACTTTTAGTGTCTTGTCTTACATGGGCCTGTTTTCTTGTCTGAGAAAGAGTGCTGACATACTGGCTAGTTCTGACCTGACCAGCCAATCTCTTCTCTACTCTCTGCTGAGCAGTTCCTGCCTCATGCTGGGGACCGCATCTTGATCACGGGGGCAGCTGACTCCAAGGTGCATGTCCATGACCTGACAGTAAAGGAGACGATCCACATGTTTGGAGACCACACGAACCGAGTGAAACGCATCGCCACGGCGCCCATGTGGCCCAACACGTTCTGGAGTGCTGCTGAGGATGGACTTATCCGGTAAGGGCCTGTGCCACCTGCTCCCCAGCCCACGTGTCCGTCTGCTCACCTCAGGCAAGACTGGCTCCTTCCTGTCAGCAGAGTTGCAGTCTCACTTGTCAGCCCAGGACAGTCGTCTGTGTACAAACTCTGCTGGGATCATATGCTTATCCTACCCTGATCTTACCCCTCCCAGCCTATTGTCTTAATTCTCAAATCAACTCACTCACTGCCATGGAGTCACTTTCAACTTACAGTGACCCGACAGAACAGAGTAGAAGTGCTTCTGTGGACTTCCAAGACGACAGCTCTATGGGAACAGAAAGCCTCATCTTTCTCCCACACAGAGGCTGGTGGTTTCGAATTGCTGACCTTGCAGTCAGCAGCCCAACTCGTAACCACTATGCCACCACAGTGTATGCCTTTAACAAATAGACGTTTCTCTTTTCACAATTTAGCAGGCTAAAAGTCCAAATTTAGGGTGTCGTCTCTAGGAAAAGCCTCTGGAGGAAGGTCCTGCCTCTCTCCTTTCTCTCTCTCTCTCTCTCTCTCTCTCTCTCTCTCTGCTCTGGAGGAAGGTCCCGGTCTGCAGCTTCCAGTCCTGGTTTCTTGAAGATCTCCTCTGCTCACGTATTTAATCTCTTTTATATCACAAAAGAGATTGACTCAAAACACACCTACACTAATCTTGCTCACTCCCATAACAAGGATAACCCATTCCTCAGTGGGATTATAACCACAGCATAGAGGTTAAGATTTACAGTACGTATTTTGGGGGCCATAATTTAATTCATAACACCTACTTTGTACTGCATCTGGATCTACTGACCCCTTCCCACCTCAAGTGCACAAGGTCTGTACTTCCTCCCTCTGGGCTTTCACATTTGCTCGTCTCTCTGCCTGGAATGTTCTGTCCTCTACTATTCCATGTCCAACCCCACTTCCTTAAGGATATCAGTTTAAAAGCCTGCTCTTCCCTGACCACCTGTTTAAAATAGAGCCAAGATGATTCTTTGTCTTACCACACTCATTGTGTCCTCTGTAATTCTGATTGCCATCTGTAGTTTTATATATTTTCATCTATATCCCTCAATGATTCGTAAACTCTTCTGTCAGCCCCAGGTCTGTCTAGTTCCTGGTTGTAGCCTTAGAGTTCAATGTCGTCCTGCCTTTTCCAGGCACTTGATACAGTTCTCGTAAACCAGAGCCAGAACCTCACTGCTGTTGAGTCCATTCTGACTCACAGGACTCTTGGTGGCAAGTGGCTACCTGGTGGGCTGCCACCGCAGGGTCGGCAGTTCAAAACCACCAGCCACTCCTCAAGAGAACAACAGAGGTGTCTGCCCCATAAAGAGTCACCGTCTTAGAAACACACGGGGCAGTTCTTCCCTGTCCCTGAGGGTTACTGTGAGTCAGCATCATTGGGGTGACTCTCCGGAACCAGTTGTACACATATATATCTGACCAGCTAGAAATGGTCAAGTGGATTGTCTCACCCTTTCCAGAAAATATGGTCACACTTTTCCCTCTGCTTAGCTTCATCCTAGATTAATCTCCTTCCCTTTCTTAAACTCCTACATTCAGGTGTGACCTTAGAATTTGTTCTTTTTCGCTCCCAACTGCTGTTTTACTTTCCGTGCACTCCTGTGGGAAATTTGTGCATGCCTCCCTATTGTGAACTAGGAGAAGTATCGAGTGTAAAATAGCACAGTAGTGAGAAGGAAGGCACTAGGGTCACACAGACCTAGGGTCAGATCATGGCTTTCTCAGTCAGTGCTTAAAGAAAGTCACTTCACCTCAGTTTCCTGATCTTTAAAGTGGGAATTGGCCATTAAAATGGAGCTCATTCATCTAAAACCCAATCGTAGTACGTGGAAGTTAGAAAGCTCTTGGTTAGTTGTGGGACAAACGTATGTGGCACTTGGTGCTCTTCACAGGCCACACTGTGCTTAACGCCAGCTAGTGGGAGTGGAACAACCAGGAGATTGGTTAGGATCTTACCCTCTGCATGTGATCAGAGCTGGCACCCTAGCAGCACATGAGGGCCCTAAGCTGGGCCTTACAGAATAGACAGAAGGGGCAGACAAGGAAGGTAGCAGGACTCGTTAGACTGAGCGGAGTTTGTGAAGGCAGGGATAAATGTGTGTGCATGATACGGAGCTCTATACTTGTAATTACTCAGGTTTAAGAAACGGCTCAGTAAAGTCAGAAGTATGTGAAATCGGGTCTTTAAGACCAGACTGAACAGGAGGTTGGGGAAAATTGGGAGCTAATAATGATGAGTGCAAGATTGAAGAAAATGTTCTGAAACTGATTGTGGTAATGACTGTACAATTCTTCTTGATGTGATTGAACTATTGTATGATATGTGAATTATATGCCAATAAAACTGTTGGAGGAGAAAAAACAGATTGAGGAATTTGGACCTCATGCTAGTACTGAAGGATCTCTGCAAAAATATGTACATGCAATATACATATGTGTGATACGTATGTATGTTGTTTTTAGCAGAGGGGTGGTGTTTTTAGGAAGAGCAATCTGGTAAGGATGACGTGGAAAGAAAGTCTGATAATGAAGAAGTTATTGCAGATGAGGGTCACAGAGTCTTTGTTAAGGGTGATGACAAATGTGCAAACAGATGGTGGTGATAGTTGCATAACATGGCACATGTAACGAACGTCCCTGAGTTGTACATATAAAAATGGTTGATGTGGCAAATGCCCTGTTAGATGTCTGTCACCATAATGAAATATTTTGGGTTTTTTTTATTTTATTTGGGATTTAATACATATACCATATTCCATATTTCAATCACATCAAGTAGAATTGTGCAATTGCAACCACAATCCGTTTCCAACCATTTCTTTTTCTAGATGGACCCCTTGACATCAGCCCCCTTTAGACAAGCTACCACCACTCTACCCTCCACCGCCCCTCCTCCTCCCAGGACCCCTCAGGTCTTCATCTCCTGCTGTCCCTCTGGGTTCATTAATCCTGTGTCATACAGGGGTTTTTCAAAGGGAAAGAATGGCAGATGTCAAAGCACAAGGTGGGAAGTGCACAGGCTCTACCTCCATCACTCCCACCTCCTGCCTTTGGAATGGACCTGTGTGTTAGCAGCAAAAAGGGGGATGGAAATCAGAGTTTGCTGTTGCTGGGCAGCGTCTTTGGCACCACCTTACTGCCTGGCTGGGACAGTCTTGCTGTAGAGCAGGTGTGCTCACGCTTCCCTCCGTCACTCTTGGATCACCTCCTTACTTCCTTTGTTTCCTCACCTAGAGTAAGAAGATGCAGAGCAGAGTGGTGAAAAGGCAGTCTTAGGAATCGGCCCTTACCAGCTGTGTCCTCCTGGGCCTGTTCTGTAGCTTCTTTGACTCCCAGTGTTGTAATAGTGCACAGGGGTGATGTGACCTTTCATTAGGGAGACTAGTCAAACAGGAACAGTAATAGACACAAGACATGTTCTCATGTTAGTAATAATAGTAATAGTAGCAATAACACTGACATCTGTTTTTAAAAAAGAGTATAGTAGTTCCCACTGTAAGAAACGGTGTTAGAACAAACCAGAGTACGGGACAACTTAAGACAGTGCCTGGTGTATGATGGGCACTCAAGAAATGGGAGTGGTTTTTGACATTATTATGGCTTACGAACTGGCCCAGCACCCCTCCCAAGGATCCCCTTACATGACAAGGCCTTTGCTTCTCCCCGTCTTCCACATAAGGCCCAATCCCCTAACTCTGTCCTCTCTCACAGCCAGTATGACCTTCGGGATAACAGCAAGCACTCAGAAGTGCTGATTGACCTGACAGAGTACTGTGGCCAGCTGGTGGAGGCTAAGTGCCTCACCGTCAACCCGCAGGACAACAACTGCCTGGCAGTGGGGGCCAGTGGGCCCTTTGTGCGGCTCTACGACATCCGCATGATCCATAACCACAGGTATGAACAGCAGCCTCCCGCTGCGGGACTCCCTGGAGCCTGCTGCCCCTTTGCCTCACTGCCACGTCTTCTTTGTGAGGAGAGTTGTTTGTTTTCATTATGATTGAGGAAGACGTAATGCATGCTTGATTTGGAAAATAGGAAAAATTGTAAATTATCTATAGTCCCATGACCTAAAAGAACTCACTGTGTAAAATTCTCCTAGACCTTTAGCTTGGAATGCTACGAGTGTTTCTACAGGTTGTCTTGTAGTTGGTTGTTGTTGTTGTCTGGCGTGGTAATTTTATCTTTTTATCTTTTTTTTAAATTGTTTTATTAAATCATTGTATTGGGGGCTTGTACAACTCTTATCACAATCCACACATACATCCATTGTGTCAAGCACTTTTGTAGGTTTGTTTCCCTCATCATTCTCAAAACATTTCCCTTCTGCTTGAGCCCCTGTTATCCGCTCCTCATTTTCTCCCTTCTCTCCCACCTCCCCCATGAACCCACGATAATTTATAAATTATTATTATTATTTTGTCCTTATTTTTTTAATCAAAAGTAAAAGTTCCAGAATTGAGCATCTCCCTGGCCAGCCTGGGCTTCCAATGGGCTCACATGCAGGAGAGTCGGGCCCATTTCCTTTCATTTGTGGGTTGAGAGACAATAGCTGTTCTCACACCCGGGATGACTTAGAGAGGGCATGGAGCCTTAGGGCCTCATCTGTACCACGGCGATAATAGCATGATCGGAGGACTAAGACAGCTTCCGGGACCAAGTAAGGAAGGTGCCTCCTTTCTCTCCCTCAGAGACACAAACTTGGGGTTTCCTCTAGGGAGCGTCATCTTGTTAACTAGGGATTGTAGCCTGTATGGTTTGCCTTCCTAACAGAAAGAGCATGAAGCAGAGCCCTTCCGCGGGTGTGCACACCTTCTGTGACCGACAGAAGCCCCTTCCAGATGGTGCCGTCCAGTATTATGTAGCAGGTAGGTGCCTCTCTCTGGCCCACGCTCTGGGCTGCATGCTTGACTCTTTCTGGGCCTGTGCAAGGAGGCAGCAGAGCAAGGTGGTTAAGAGCCAGGGTTTACAGTCAGACAGAACTGAATTTTAATCCTGGCTCTGCCATTGGCTAGCTGTGTAACCTTTGACAAATTATTTAGCTTTGTTGAACCTTAGTTTCTTTTCTGTAAAATGGGGTTGTAATGACTGAGATAGTGAAAAAGAATAGACAGAAACTATCAAGCGGTTGGCGGAGGGCATCTTGAGCCCCTCATCAGGAAAGCTGAGCTCATACACCCCTGCCTATCCCCTGGGGCCCGGATTCCCACTCTCACTGGAGGGCTTGGGTTGTTCCCTGCAGGTCACCTGCCCGTGAAGCTGCCTGACTACAACAACCGTCTGAGAGTGCTGGTTGCTACCTATGTGACCTTCAGCCCCAACGGCACAGAGCTGCTGGTCAATATGGGAGGGGAACAGGTAGGTATGGCTGCCACAGGGGGCTCAGCCTTACCACCACCCCGGACACATCCAATCTATGTGGTAGACAAGCAGTAAAGTCTGGCTCTTGTGAGCTGTGGGAGCTCCCAGAGAGCTGCCCTGGCTGGTCGTAATGTTTTAGGTTTTTTCAGTGTTAGCTTACTGTTTACTGCTCGGCACTGGGACTTTGAGCAAGTCTCTTCCCCTATCTGACCCTCAGTTTCCTCACCTCTAAAATGCTATCTCTACCATGCAGGGTGGCAAGGTGAGGAGAAAAAATGCCCGTGACATCCCTAGCACCAGTGCCTGGTAATGGCTAACTCACTGTCATCTAGCCAATTCTGACTGGTACGACCCTGTAGGACAGAGTGGAGCTGTCCCTCTGAGATTCTGAGACTAAATTTTTATGGGAGTAGAAAGCCATCTTTCTCCCACAGAGAGGTTAGTGGTTTTGAACTACCGACCTTGGGATTAGCAGCCCACTCATAGCCCATCACACCACCAGGGCTTCTCTGCTATTTGCTAGGTGCTTGTTACATGGTAGTACTTGATAGTAATGGTTATGAAGGAGTTGGAACCAAGGACATCTTAATCTTGTTTTATACCCATGACAAAGATAGACAGGGACAGGTATCCCAAGTCAAAAGGCATAAAACAGTTGATATGAAAGTGGCTGTGGACACAGGAGCCCCACACACCTGGCTATCAGCTCTTGTGTCTGGACACGGCCCCAGCTGAGAGAAAACCTAGGAGAAGACCCCTGGAGCACACGCTTCGGTTTAGGACCAGCTTTGGGAAGTGCCCTTTGCTAACATCCACATGCCACACCTCTGTTGGCATGCGCTCTGTCAGCATGTTTAGCCATTCAACCTGCAAACACTGCTGAGCGCTTCCTCTGGGATTAAACAAGGAGAAGGGAGCGGAGCTATGACCCACCCCCGATACCATGGCGAGTGAGACAGTGACATTGCAACAGCAACTCCTGCCATCAAGCCAGTTCTAGGTCACAGTGACCCTGGTAGCAGTAAGTAGAACTGCCCCTGTAGGTTCTCTAAGACTGGAGCTTTTACAGGAGCAGAAAGCCTAATATCCAAGGAGCAGCTGGTGGTTTTGAATGGACCTGCTAGTTAGTAGCCCAACTCATAGCCCCCTTCGCTCCCAGGGCTCCTTGATGACTTACAAAGCAAGGTGTGATTACATGGGGGGGAGGGGGGGGGAATGCAGTGGAGAACAGAGAAGTGCCTGAGTTCAGAACAGGGTTACAGGTTCAAGAAGCTGAGCTTTCCATGTCGTGAAAACAGCCCGAGGAGCAGAGGAGAGTCAGCCTGGGGGCTGGTTAGAAGCCAGGTTCTGGTATCAGACAGATCTGGGTTTGAGGCCTGGCTGTATTACTCACTGCTTCTGTGACACTGGGTAAATTACTGAAACTCTCTTCATCTATGAAAGGGGGTGGCATAGTGGTTAGGCGTTGGACGGCTAACTGCAAGTTCTGCGGTTCAAAACTACCAGTGGCTCCGAGACAAGGCTTTCTACTGCTGTAAAAAGCTGCAGTCTCAGAACCCACAGGGCAGTTTCACACTGACCTATAGGGTAAGTTTCTGAACTTCATAGGATGGTTTCTAGGATGAATTAAGTCATATAACGCACTTAGCAGAGTTCTTGGAACAAAGTAAGTGGTCAGTAAGCATTTGTAGTAATAGATGGTTCTCATATACCTAGAGCAGGAACTAGTAATGCTACCTCGGGGCTTCAGTTTTCCCATCTCTAAAACCAGTCATTTAGTTTTTTGTGACTTCTGAGCACCTTTTCTGCTTTAACCTGCAATTTTAGTTAAAGATAGTATTTCAGGCACGAATTTGATAGTTGACCCCGAGGGCTAGGAGCTGAGAAAGTTTTCCTGCCCAAGGGTTCCCCCCTGGAAACCCCTCCTGTCCTAGCTTGGTGGCCCAGAGCCCTCATACCATACTTAGTCCTCATTGTAGTCTAAGACTGGGTCTTAAGGGTCACCAAGGCCTTGCTAGTGGTCCAGCCACATTCATACCCCATAACTCCATCTCTTCTCCTGGCCCCTCAACTCTAGGTCTATTTGTTTGACCTGACGTATAAACAGCGGCCGTATACCTTCCTCTTGCCTAGAAAATGCCATTCTTCAGGGGGTAAGTTCAGGGCTTAGCCCTTCTCCCTTAAGGTATCTCTGTTGTTGCTGAGAAGCCTGCCCCTTTCCCTGGACTGTGGCTCTGATCCTCCAAAAGGGGAAGTTCCTGAAACACCAGTAGGAAGGAAGGTAACTGGCTGTGAGGTCTGTTCCTGGGTTTGCATCACAACCCTTAGCAGCATTCCCTCTAGAAAGACAGGTTCTTCCACAGCTTTCTCTGGAGGGGCTTAAATAAGTGCATGTCCCCTTTTCTTCTTTGCCTCAATCTCTTCTCTGACATCCTAGCGCCCATCCACCCCACCCCTCCCCCAGTTGCGGGTAATGCCATGTAGAAGCTGTGTCCCTCACAAGCCAGCAGAGGGCGCACGGGCTTTTCTTTATGCCATTGCCTGCCGTTCTGGCAGAACTTGCTTTCCGGGAATGGGTCTCCCCCACGGAAAATAGCCGCACAGTGAGACCAACACTGTGATGGAAGCTAGAGGGCTGCCAGGAGGGGCCTGGAGACTCCTCCTGAGCTGCTGTTTTCCCTTTCTCCCAACCCTCTGCCAGAAGTCCAGAATGGCAAGATGTCCACCAACGGTGTGTCAAACGGTGTGTCCAACGGCCTGCACCTGCACAGCAATGGCTTCCGGCTTCCAGATAGTAGAGGACATGTTAGGTGAGGCCAGCCCCAATTTTACCCCATAGGCTGGTGGGAGGGGCAGACCCAGTAAACATTCCTTGGTGGGAGAAGGAGACTGCCGAAGAGAGGCTTCTGGAGGGGGCCTCCACAAACCCAGACCCACTGCATCTAGTCATTGCTGACTCATAGTGGCCATCCCACCCCACCCCACCCCCGGGGATCTCCGAGACTGCAACAGTAGAAAGCCCAGGCTTTCTCCTGTGGAGCTGCTGCTGCTGGTTTCGAACTGCCAACCATGCTCATCACAGCCCAATGCGTAACCACGGCACCACCAGGGCTCCTGGAGGGTGACTAGTGCTCCTAATTCTGCTTGTACCACATAGCACGCCAAGTCGCCCACAGACTGATGCTCTGCTCCCTGGGTCTAGCCGTTGCTGGGGTCAGAGCCCAGGGCCT